CTTGATTTGCTTTCTCACTTTTCGCATCACAGCAACATATGGAGGTGCGACGACAAAAAGCTGCTGTCAAACAAAACAAAAAAAAAAAAAAAAAAAAATCGGGGGTTTTCAGCCTGGATCTCCAGGCGAGTATGATTGTGATTGTGAACTTTCGGTACCTAAATTTCCATCGCCTCCGGATTTATTATCAAAACGAGCGTGGGCTGAGGACTAAAATCGACTAGTTTTTCTTGGCTTAATATGGTTTGATCGTAGTGACGGAAACGACCAGATCTATTCATAACAACTTTCGGATCACTTTTATCAGTCTTCAGAACAGACCGATCTCCCCCTGAACAGTTAAAAATCACGCGGTGGAGGCGGTCTGATTGCTATCTCAACGAGACTAACCATCAGCTACCTAAGTAACTCGCCCATCGGTCTATTGAAACAGCTCTAAATTGTCGTGGAATTTCCACAAAACATTCTCAGGATAGGCACTGTCTACCTGCCTCCCGACCAAAAAAAAAAAAAAAAAAAAACGATTGCACGATCATCCGTGACCATGAGGAATCGTTAGGCTCGATTTCATCTCAATTGAATCCCCGTTCTACACTACAACCAAATTGGTTTGGAGGGGCGCTACCGCATATGCTGGTGGCTTGCTCTACTCTTTTGTACGGATTTAACTTGCACCGAATTGTCGATTGCTAGATCTCATCCTGCCAAATGATTCCGCATTACCGGGCACTTCTACTTCTAAGCCGCTCTAGCAACTGATCGGTCTAGATATTAATCATCTCTCGTCGGGTCATTCAGGTTACCTCCTCCGATTTCAAATAGACCAGTCTACCTTGAACGATTCTCTTCATCGACTCTCTCTTTCGTAAATAACTCGGCTACATAAACGTTTCCTGTCATCTTTGTCGAATTAGATGTGTGAGAATTCCCTCCCCATAAAGATGTGTGAGAATTCCCTCCCCATAAACTGTCTACGTAGTTAATGAACAGCCCCTAAACGAAGTAAGCCGAGGAGTAAACAGACAGAAAAATTGATAAACGTCAATTACATTTTTAGGTACATTGAGTTACTCGCGTGTTACTCGCTGCAAAAAGGCAACTCAGAATAAAGCTGTCTCACCCCTTGCTATATAATTAAAAATAAAGAACAATAGCTAGGGGAAATGTCTCTAATGTAGGCCTATGGATCTAAGATTGGGCCCATCGCTAAAAATCTGCTATTTATCAATTTTATCTAGATGAACGCGTCATTGGGATGGTACTAATGGATATATTTGGTTGCTATTGAAAATTTAGTCGATTGCTGAATTTATGTATGGGCTCAAATTAGGGACACTTAGGCTGACATTACCTGCATTTCCCCTATATAATTAAGAATAAAGAACGTTAATTATTATGGCAAAAGAAAGACATGAGTTTAAGAATTGGGTTCTTTAAGGGTATTGAGGTAAATTCGAAATCTGCGTTATAGTACGTTCAGACTACAGAGTTATAACATGTTATAGCGCTATCTTGATGGTGGTTTCTGTGTTGCAATTATTTGACAACCGTTATAACATGTTATAACTCTCCAGTCTGGACAGCGTTTTAGAAATGGAACCTAAAACCAAAAATTTCATCAATTTTGGTACACTGTAACTTTTTTTAAATAAGTACGATTACATTTGCAAAAAATACCTTATTAGTGCCCCTTGGTGTCACTTTCTATGAGAGCGAGCTGTCAGTTTGCCAGTTTGGTGTCAAACAGTGAAGTTATTATTTTGCTTTAAATCTTGATTTAAAAATCGATATGACAGTGTGTGGGTTCAAGAAAATTAAAATCGCTCTGCTCAGAAAACGAAGCTCTTTCAGATGGGTACACAGTGTGCCAAAATCAAACATGGGCACACCCGGGCGTCGTCATTGACGCTATTTGGCACCCATGGTTACAATTTTTATGATCTTTAAAGTTAATGGCAACACTGAACTTTTTCTGCGCTTACGCAGTGATACGATGATGTCAAAATTTGTTATTGATGTTGCCACAATATAATCAAATTATCTTCAAAACAACCGTGAAACTCCACCAAGTCTCGCCATGGATTCTCAAAATCGTTACACCCGTGACGATAGTCGCATCCACATTCGTTCCATCGTCCAACACATATAATGTTGGAGGACCGTCTTGGCAAAATCTCAAATAGTTCATCAAATTATTTGTACTCTTCTGCCTTTCTGCACTTCCAACTAAAACAATAAAAAAATATGATTACGAATCATAACATTAACTACACAGAAAAAGGAAAATCCTTTCTTTTCTCAGAAAAAGAAAGCTAACGTGTTTTCGATGTTCTCGTTGCTCCACGCACCGGTCATCTTCTTGGAGGAGTAGAAGCACAGCTTCATAATAAACGGGAATTTTGTGCATTTGTGATCGCGCTGTGGTTGCACTTCATGATGGCGTTCACCGCCAGGGCTACGCTCGGGAACTCAACCAATCCGGAGGAGGGAATTTTCGGTTTCAGCGGGAAGTCCTTGGTGGTGAATGCAGTCAGCAGCAGATCCTCGGACGGCGTATGGGTGGGGTACACGGATAGAAATCTCCTTATACCTTTTGGCAAATTTCCATTGCTGATTATTCATAAATTGTATAAGTCAACTAAAAAGCAGACGCCTTGCAAAAAGTTAATAAAGATCATGTGTCAAATGAAATGTATAAGCGGTCACACATACCTTTTATGCATTCTAATAGGACATATGTGGTTTGTCTTATGGAATGTATAAGGCTGATGCTTTGGCAAAAATGTATAAGTGAAACACATGAATTAAATAATTGATTTTCGTTTCGTGTATTGAAGAAGTGGAGAATGCGATTTTTGCTGGCCTGGGAAGTGATTGTTCTTGGAGGCGCTGTAGACCTTGAAGCTGATCGAATTGTCTGGCAGGGTGTACCTTTGACTACGATGGCGTCTCCCATCTACACCATGTTCTGACATTTCCATACGGGAAGAACAGATTGAACAGCTTATCGGTGTTGGCTGTGTTGTTATCGAGTCCGAAGACCATCATCACTGCGCCCTGTTGCTGTGCCGGTTGAATGAAGTTGACTGGTCCGTTTCGGGTCAGCGGTGCTTTCTTCATCAGTCCCATCATCAGTGCAAATGCGTTTCCTCCGCCGGCTCCCAGAAGGGCTGGTTAACTAATGATTGACGTTCGTTGTTGTCGGTCTTCCGCCGAAGATAGATGTTTTTGAAAACATTGAAAATCAAAACAAAAACAAGATCTGTTCAAATACCGGGTTGCCAAACAAGGCATTATTCACAAGCAAACAAAAGTCAGTTCAATGACTTCTTGGCACTGCCGATACAGCTGCGGCACACTGAGGTACACTGAGAAAAATGTTGGCGCAAAATAAGTGTGTAGAGTGACCACCCCTTGGATGATATATAAAAACCGATATATTTTTCAAAATTAAAGAACCCAATTATAAACCACATTAGAAATATTTTAATAGAATTGACAAAACCCTTGATCTCCTTTATCATTTTAATAAAAAAAAAATAAGCAGTGTCAGCCTTCCTTTTTTTTATGAGTTATAATGCCTTATGGAGTAAAATATTGTTTTAGTTTATGCCGAGACACTATAAAGTCAATGGTTTCGCAGTATTGATTGTAAGAGGTTATCATGCGGTTTAATGGCCCATATTTTGCATAATTTGTGCGATGATGTTTTAAGGCAAATAAATTTCGATTTTGGAGTTGCCCAGTAGGTGCATGGAAATTTAATAATGATAAAAGTTCTGTGGAGTCAATGCGCTTCGAAACGATATCGTTTACAAATGAAACCATTGCATATTCACGACGCTCTTTTAATGTTTGTATGTTTATAAGCATGCAGCGTGCTTCATATGATGGAAGAGGAAATTATGTCCAACCTAATTTACGAAGAGTGTATAATAGAAATTGTTTTTGTACGATTTCTAATCTTTCTTCGTGCGTGATTGAAAAAGAAGACCATACAATGCTGCAATATTCCAGTATTGACCTCACATAGGCAATATATAGTGTTTTAATTGTGTATGGGTCCTGAAAGTTATAACAAAAGCGCTTGATAAAGCCTAGCATGTTATTTGCCCTGTGAATAATTGTGTTGTAATGGTCTATGGAAGTTAGTTTAGAGTCTAAGATAATTCCTAAATCCCTAACTCTTTCACATTTTTCTACATTTTGATTTCCTAGTGCAATTGAAATATTTGAAGTTGTGCTTTTCCTGCTAAATGATATTAAGTTGCATTTTTTTTTACTTTCAATTCTAGTAGACTTTTTTTTGCACCATATGTAGAATATATGTATTTTATTCCGGAATATATTGATGTCTTCTTCATTTCTTATTTCCAAAAAGAGCTTCATGTCATCGGCATAAATAAGCAATTTAAGTTTTTTTGAGAATGAAAGAAATGTCGTTTACGTATAGAATAAAAAGAAGAGGTCCTAAATGAGAGACTTGGGGGGCGCCTGAAGTGACTTGAATTGGACTCGATTTCTTTCCGTTGAATTTAATTATTTGTTGGTGGTTAGTTAAATATGATTCAAGCCATTTTAGGAGCTCTGACTCAATTCCAATTTTTTGCAATATAAAAAGTAGTATTGGTATGTCTATGCTGTCAAATGCCTTGCTAAAGTCTGTATAGAGAGCTTCTACGTGGTTTCCATTATCCATTGCATTCAATGTCAGATTTTGACAGATCGATGTCCTACTATACCACTTGAAATCACTGAAATGGGATCGATTTTTTTTTGACTGAGTTCCACATATGTTATGTGCCAAAACTCAAATGTGTGTATAAAATTGAGCTAGACTGGTTACATTTTTGTGACTAGACTTTGGGCATGCCTGGTTTTTGGATCCGAGTCGTCGTCGCATGCTAGATGCGTTCTTTTGTCAACATTGTAAACAAGACGATTCCTAAACACTTCAACCTCACTTTATAAGTTTACAAATTCCAGTAAAAAAATCAACTATGACCGAACCTTCCATGGAGCAATCTCCACCCCCAGAAGCTGCTTACATACCATTCAAGAGCAAGTATCAATCTTCTCCATTTCATAGTTGGTAATTCCATTTTTAGAAACAATCTACATTCACCTCCTCCAGGTTTGCCCAGGGAGAAATTCAAACGTCTCATATCCTACTTTTCTCCCGACGATGAGGAATCTTTGCGCCAGCAGATTCCAGAACTTCCTCACCGAAAACCGCCTCCAGTTGGACGATTGGAGAAAGTATTTCCGCAGATCGGTGGGGCTTTTCTATTTGGATTTAGTGCAGGCGGCGCTTACGGCATCATGGAAGGCAGAGCGTCCATTCGCAGTCTTCAAGGCAGAATTCGACTGATGCAGTAATAATTTCTGTAACCAATCTTCAACGTTAGTGATCTGGAATTTTTCTTTGTCTATTCTAGGATTTTAAATAACTTTCTGAAACGAGGAAAATCGTGTGGCAATAAGCTGGGAGTGATTGCGTTGCTTTACTGCACGGTGGGAGTGCTCCTGCAATTAACTCGCTCGGGAGAAGATGACGCGTGGAACTCCGTTGCTTCAGGTGGGATAACTGGTATGATGGTAGGAAGTTCCAAAGGACTCCGACAAGCTGCTGCTGGTGGAGCTATCGGCATAGCACTTAGTTCATTGCATGTTCTGATCGATCGAATTGAATGTAGGAAACTTTGATAATTAGCAGTAAAATCGACAGTCCGTTTCACTGAACGATCCGATACACCACTCTTGAATCCCTGTGCCAACATGTGTTAACCATTTTCACACAACTTTTGTGGCCTATGGTCCATCCAGCGTCTCGTTTGTCGCATCACCTCTCATTGATTTGTCTACAGGGTACAAACCAACCGCATCATCGGTTTTGGCGGAAGCTCTTCCAAATTTGTTCCGCAAGCCAGTCGAGACAAATGATTCAATGTAAACGATGCTGACGACGAGCTCCGGCTCGCACCGAACCGGTAACCATGTTCTTCCACAGCATTTGTGGGTGCCACATTCGGTGTCGGTATTTGGGTATTGATGAATTTATAGGTCCCAGCGGGTGGGCCGTTTTTGCGGTCATGACTATCTAATGGGATTAATCAACCCCTTTTTTCAGCCGAACCCATTCCTTGCAGGGTCTGCTGGCCGTTTCCCACAAGAGTTTCACACCTACGGAACTTCGGGAAGCCTTGTCCGGATTGCTTAATCCTCTACAGTTGTGGCTACAGGGGGCTTCTGTTGTGCACACGCGGATGTAGAAAAATACAACTTTGAACTTTCGGGTCGTTGTTTTCTACCGCAGCAGGAGGAGCAGGGGTAGAGCCGGGGAATACTACTATCGCCAGTGGTGATTATCGCTTTAGCTTAGTTTTGTTGTCCTCCCGTGATGGGCCTAGGATGAGATAAATGGTTGTTTTGACGGAGGACGGAGAGGAGAAAAAAAACGGGGGGAAAAGTTTTCCAACCAGAGCTCGGTTTGTGGGTAGTGCGTAGATTGAAAATTTATAGCTCTGGACACAGGCCAAACTCTCCAGGGGTGTACCCGGTCTCACCGGGATGCGATGGATGTACGTGGGCTGACTGACCTAGTGTTGGACGTTTGTTGAGTAGGATTTAGGTTGGAGATGGATTTTTTTTTTATTTTCGAATGGGCAAAAAGAAAGGAAAGGTGTGAAAAGTTTTATTGCTGTTGGGTAGGACTTTTGTTCCGGTGATAATCCGTCTTGAAAAGAATGTAATTCGAAAAAATGTTACACGATGAATGAATCGTGATTAGCTTCTCTATTTTCTGTTTATTCAAAATTGGCAATGCGCCTTTCATTATATTCATATAATATGGAGAAAACGGTCCATTCTATTGGGGGTAATTACCCATTCTCAATCATTTTCCAGTGCAGCCTAAAGTCAGGAAATAATGTGCGATCGAGTTGGGTAAAATAATAAAACTTTCTGTTTTGGTAGATTATAATTATGTTGGTACAATATTGCTATCAGAACACTTTATATCTCTTAGAGCAGCTAACATCCATTTAGGCACAATCCTTAGTGAATTACTGTACTGCCCATAAAAACATAACCATCCTATATCTGCTTGCTTTCCTATTCATATGGGGCATTTATGATTATATTGGCAGTGCAGATCCACCAGCATTAGCAACGGTTGATATAGATCGATGTCGGTTACACAAGGGGGGGTTATTCCGATAGTCGAAGTGATTTTTGTCACTAGTGAAGTGAGAAAAGTCACGGTGTGGTGACGTGACTCTTTGTGCATTTCAAATGGAGAGTCACGTCACCACGACGTGACTTTTCTCACTTCACTAGTTGAAAAAGTCACTTTGACTTTCGGAATAATAGCGAGCTGCCCTTAGGTGGGTCATGGAATTTCAGACAACTTGGTCAGAAGCATTGACATTTTCTTGTACTTATTTTATATTTGATACTCTTAACGTAATTTTACTTCTTTTAATATTTTGGTGTCTTATCATTCACGGATTTCAATGCAATTTTAGCGATTTATGACGATTAGGTGACGATTAAATAAATGCTGAGGGCTGTCCTATCATTAAATTTCCGGATTGTTTTGTTGTTTTCAGGACAACTGAGGGATTTTAAGGCCATTTTGGCATTTCAATGCCAACGTTTAATTATGATTTTATGTGATTGGGTAATTGTTTGCGTCTTTAGGACCATTATTACATTTAAAGATTATTAAAGGAGCTGTCGCCCGTTTTAGCAATTTAAGGTCATTTTGGTCTTTTTAAGCTATTGAAGGCCATTTTTGTAGCCATGTTGGAGTTTTCAAGGTCATTTTAGCCATAGAAAATTTGTATTTGTGGGTCGCGAGCGTAGTACGGATTTCCGGATAAACTGACGAGATTGGGCAAGGCGACGATGGATCGAGTGATGTGCGTTGTTAGAGTATCGGGGACACTCTCGAGCCTATCTCGAAGGGACTACGGCGAGGTGATGGACTTTCGTGTCTGCTATTCAACATCGCGTTAGAAGGTGTGATCAGAAGAGCTGGGATAGATCTTCAGGAAGTCCATCCAGCTTCTTGGCTTCGCCGATGACATCGATATCATAGCACGGAACTTTGAGACGGTGGCGGAAACGTACATCAGACTGAAGGCTGAAGCTAGGCGGATTGGACTTGCCATCAACACATCCATCGAGAGACGAAATACATGAGAGGAAGAGGTTTTAGGGAAGACAATGTTAGCCTCCCACCCCGAGTTCAGATTGACGGTTACGAAATCGAGGTGGTCGATAAGTTCGTGTATTTGGGCTCACTGGTGGCCGCCGAAAATGATACCAGCAGTGAAATTCAAAGACGCATTAAGGCAGGGAATCGTGCCTGCTTTGGACTCCGTAGGACGCTCCGGTCGAATAAATTTCGCCGCCGCACGAAGCTGACTATCTCCAAGACGCTGATTAGACCGGTAGTGTTTTCGAACGGAAGGTGTTGCGTACCATTCTACGGTGGAACCATCCATCGTCCACATTGCAAAAATTGGGCGACTACGCTGGGCTGGGCACGTCGTTAGAATGGTTCTCGAAAACGACCCAACAGGAACAAGAAGAAGAGGTGCGCAACGGGCAAGGTGGATCGACCAAGTAAAAGGCGACCTGCGGACCCTTCGCAAACTACGAGGCTGGCGAAGTGTAGGTATGGATCCAGTAGAGTGGAGACGACTTCTTCGAACAGCAGCATAGTCGATTATGATTTTTAAGATATTCGTTTAATTGTTTGGATAGAATTTATTCAAAAAATTTCGACAGAGCACAAAGTATGCTAATAGGACGATAATTCTTTTCTGTAGCAGGATTGTCAATTTTACCAATAGGAACAATCTTAGCCACTTCCTAGTGGTTATACAAAAATTAAATATGTCTGTGATGTAAGGTAGAGTGACACGTAAATACATTTTCAAAATATGTAGACGATTGAGATCAGTACGCACAGAATCACATGAAGCAGACGCAAACTTTTCCTAAATATCGTTACTAGTAATACCTCTCAATACAAATTAGTAAATATGTATAACATCAGAATTCATTGATTTATTGCATTTTTTTGATTGAATTTATCATAAGTTATTACCTTTGTTACTAGCGTAACATAGGTATTAGAATCGATTTTCACACGTCTTGCCGTCTGCGCCCGATAACCATCCAAACAAGCTATCTCACCTGTATAAAACATTCCCAATCGATAGAACTCGGCGATCTGGCTCGACAGTTTGATTACGACATCGTAGAATCAAATTAAACATCAAAAATCGACCCGGCAAGGTGAAATTTGGTGATGTCTGTATGTGCGTCTGTGGACGCGTTTCATCTAGGCAAGCTTTTTTCGAGATGGCTCATCCAAACAATTTGGTTGATATCTTGTTTGAAAGGCCTTATTGCGCCATTGATCGCTATTGAATTTTTTCTCGATCTGACTTCCGGTTTCGGAAATATATAGGGCAGAATGATTTTAGTTAACGATTTTTTAAAAATCAGCGGTACATTTTATCAACATGATTTCTTCAACAGTAGAAAGACCTCATCTATATGTACTTGAGAAAAAAATTTCATACCGATCTGACTTCCGGTTCCGGAGATTTACAGCATAAAATGATTTTAGTTAACGATTTTTTACAAATCAACGGTACATCCCATCAACGTGAAAAAATTTCATACCGATCTGACGTTTGGTGTTGGAGATTCCACCTTATTACCTTTGTTACTAGCGTAACATAGGTATTAGAATCGATTTTCACACGTCTTGCCGTCTGCGCCCGATAACCATCCACACAAGCTATCTCACCTGTATAAAACATTCTCAATCGATAGAACCCAATCAATTCCCAATTTCATCTATTTAGGCAAGATTTTTTCGAGATGGCTTATTCGATCAATATGGTTGATACGTGCATGTCGGTTAAATACTGTTTTTTTTTTTAAGTCAGAGGAAGGCTTTATGTTTTGTTTGGGCGTTAGCATCAGAAGAAGAAATCCTACGCAAAATCGTGGAATATAGGGGGCCCATAATGCACCCCTAGGGTATAATGGCCCCGTGCAGTTTTTCGTTGCTTTTCCATTACTAATTCTCGAAATATCATGTGCCAAAATATAAATTCAAGCACTTAACTAGCAATGCTAATTGTTATATTCACGAATTGACAATCGGAAAGCCATGAAAAACAGCGCAGGGCCATTTTACCCCAGGAGTGCGTTTTGAACCATCCTACCCTACGTATTCCAATAGACGTTTTCGATGCTGAATCGTCTTTCTCTATCTATCACACATGTATGAATCTACGGTGTATTTTCCCACTAATGTGTTTCCATCTTGCTCGCACTCGTTGGATTTAAATTGTACAGTACACGGTAACCGCAAAATACCCAATAATGACTAAAAAGTAAGCATTTTTGAGGGAAACTGGGACTACCCATTAAATGAGTAAAAATAGTACCCATATATGAGTATTTGTTATTCAAAAATGAATACTAACTACTTGTTTTTATAGTTGTAATTACTCAAAAATGGGTAAAATTTTACTCATTTAATGGGTAGTCCCAGTTTCCCTCAAAAATGCTTACTTTGTAGTCATTATTGGGTATTTTGCGGTTACCGTGTAGTGTGCACCGATTAGACTTCGAGAAGCTCTATAAGACCAGTCAGATGTTGTCCCTTCAAATTTGTGCACGGCCGATGAGATCAACCCAAATAAAAGCCTCAATAATCTGCTGGAAAATGAGGAAAATTTACCAAAATTTTACAGTCTAGTAGTAGTACCAATAGACCAAGAAAATCCAATCGTAAGAACTCTGGCATCCTTGAAAAAGTGCGAAAAAACTAGAAAAACATGAAGTAAATCGCACTTTTTGCGATTTATGAGTAAAGTAAAATCAAATTTGGGTTGATCTCGTTGGCCGTTTGCAGAGAGTTTTTCCACCTAAACAATCCAAATTTAAGTAAGATCTACTCATTTCCATTAGAATTAGAGCTAAACAATATAGAGCGAACTAGATTGTAGCTGACAAGATAACAAATTAACATTCGGATTCAGGTGTTCATTCGCCATCTTGTCAGTCCCAACTTTGTTTATTCAATTTTGGGGGATATTAGTAGATTCTACTCTAATTTGGGTTGTTTAGAAATAGCGTGCATCCTGCAGTGTTTTGTTCGGGATAGTGTAACTGACGCTTTAAACCTTGGTCACCCTCATTTTTAAAAATAGCTATTAGAACTGGTACATCGTGAAAC